ACCATCCTCAGCAGGGCTTTGAGTAAAAATGGCCTGGGGGGTGATATGGAGTTTCCTTCTGTCGGGGTGTATTCAGTCAGCTCTAAGTATGTCGATTAGATGGGGTTTCTGAGGGGATTTAGGTGGTGCCAATCCGCTTTAAAGATTCCATGCAGGCTTAGTTCTAAGCTCCTTATCCCTGTCTGGGCAAATGCAGAAGCAAATCCTTAGGCAGTTGTGGAACTTACTGGCAAAAACGTAAGTGCCTGTGGAGTTTAGGACCCTGGCCAGTGTTTAAGATTTATCTAGCCACCTAAGTCCCATGCAAGGTTCTGATGTGAACCTGTGTGCAAATTCCTTTCTGATTCCAGGTCTATCCAATTCATGCATCTTGTTATAATATTGATGAGCTATATTGGAAAAGGTAGAAACACTTCAAAGATGTAATTTATACAAGGATGTAATTTATACATGTTCACATGCCTGTCTGGACTTTATAGTAGTTTGGTAGTTATGCTGGCGCGGCAGTATGAAGAGGTTTTGTGAGGGGAAAGAATATCTTTCATTAGATCAACATGCATAACTGGGGAAGAGGAACAAGCTTTCAGGCTGCTGCAAGTGCCCTTTGTCAGTTCTTGGAAAGTTTCAGCTTGTACTTAGTTTGTACTGTGACTGCTGATGGAGTGTTTCTGCAGTCCAAAAGCTTGTCTCCCATTTCCTATGCAAGTTGGTTCAATACAAGAGATTTACTTTGCCTCATACATCTTGCTGGTCCTAGGCTGTAACACATTATTTCAGCTAGGCAGATTATTTATTCTATATTACTGGTTATTTCAATTCACAGTGATGAAACCAAAACACTTTTTTTTACTACTTGGTCATAGTATAATGAAGTATGCAAGAATTATTACATTTTACCTAAGGCTAAAGTACAAATACAAATGTTATTTCTGTATTAGTTGCTATCAGTGTAATGGGTTTGGGTGAAAAGGGCAGTTACCAAAACTTGTTATAGCTGTAAAGGCCTTAACAACAGATGCACATCATTTTATCTATCTTGTACATCTTTTACTCTCCTTACAGATAATTTAGTTCATAACTTGTAGGATTTTTACTTCTGTTTTTATTTTTAAAGGCACCAGAAGTGATCCGGATGCAGGATAGTAACCCATTTAGCTTTCAATCAGATGTTTACTCCTACGGAATAGTGTTATACGAACTAATGACAGGGGAGCTGCCATACTCTCACATTAACGACCGAGATCAGGTGAGAAACACAAATTCCAGAACCATGTTATTTGTGGCTTCTGAGGAAAATCTGTCCGGTTTTCCTGAAGACATGGTTTATATTGCATGTTTATAAATTATATGTATTAAGAGCATCTCTCTTCCTGAATAGGTTATTGCTTGGTTTTGTATTTGATGCCATCTTTGTGTATTTTTGGAGACAAATATAAACACCTGGAAGCAACCAAGTATCTATTCTTCAGAAAGAATATTTCTTAGTATGATGGCAGTCTGCCAAGTGAATTGTTCAAGTACCAATTACATATTTTATTTGCATGTGGTGGTCTAAAGAACTTAAAGCAACTTGAGAAATCAAATATGGGACTTTTGGTCTGATACGGATTTATTTGGTGCATCTTACTACAAGTAACTGTAGTTGTCACAAGTTAAAAATTTTGACATGAACACCTACAACTTTTGGAACTATTTTTAGTTGAACAAATTTTAAAAAAGAGGGGAAATCCTCTTTCCTTGAATTCTTTGAAGTGTGTAGTATTACTTTTCTTAAACATGTTTTCCTCTATGCTGTACCTCAAAGGCAGTTCCTTAACTTAATTTTACTGTTTGCTTATTTTTAGTAATGAACGGTGGGAAAAGCTGGTCAGTTTATTGGTAAAAGACCCATAATACCTCATACTCTGTAGTCAAACCAGTTTTATTAATTTCTTTTAAATGATTTTGCCATTTTAGGTAAGATTCAAATCTGAGAACTGGGAAGTGGGGTTTTTTTGGTTTTTTTTTAAATGCATAACACTCAGCATTCCTCTCCATAATACTGGAAGTCTGTGCTTTGAACAGCCATTCCTGGTAATGCAGAACATTGATTTACAAGGAATCTGGGCTGTCAACTAAATATATATATTTCTGAGATGAGTCGGTACACTTCCATATGTGCTGTTGGCAGATTTATTTCAGCAGCTTTATTTACTGTTAGGCAGTTGGCTCTCTGTGGGGCTTTCAGAAGTTACAAAATAAATGTATCATAGTTGTAATATTTTTATTAATGCATATACAGAGAGTTTGGAATTAAAACATTAGCTTAAGCACAGTCAAGATCTCACTAGTCCATTAGCCATCTTAATTACTTCAGTAATATTCCTGAACGCCTTCAGCAAACCATAGTGGTGGTTTGCTAAAATCTTAGTAGTACATTTTCTTTTACCTGAGATGGTGGGGGAAGTCAGTCTACTGGTTTTTTTCCTCATTAGCTGGCAATATAAGGAAACTGCAAACTATCAAAGACGCACTTGAATGGCATAAGAAACTGCCTTTCCCTTTATGCTCACAGGTGATAAATGGATATGTGTTCTGGTGAGGGATTTTGATCAAACCATGCAAGTGCAATTTGGGACTGGCCAGTCAATATGGTGGTAACTTAAGCATCAGTCAGATGGGTTTAGCACTTCTGGCTGCTAATGATGACCTTGTTTTAAGGGTTCTTTAGAACTTGCATCCTTTAACTCCAGCAAGTTATCAGTCAGGAAATGCCTTGGAGGGCTTGTTGCTATGATAAATTATATGCAAGATAATAAATGAGTAAATTATGGAATAACTTTGCAGTGTCACTTAATAGTTGGACAGATAGTGTTACAGATCAGAAAAGTGGGCCTGTTCCACTTTACTGATTTTTGTCAAATCTTGGAAGAACAGTAGACTGTTTGCCTTCATTACTTCAATGTTAAAGATAACTGCAGGACAGCAAAGCTGTCAGCCAGTAAAATAATATCTAACATTGGTATTCAAACTGTTTGTACTTCTTTGCTAGATCATTTTTATGGTTGGTCGAGGTTACGCATCTCCAGACCTCAGTAAACTGTACAAGAGCTGTCCCAAAGCTATGAAGAGGCTTGTAGCAGACTGTGTCAAGAAAGTTAGGGAAGAAAGACCTCTGTTTCCACAGGTGAGTGTGTTGTCTTTTTATTAAATCCTAGAAACAGTTCTTGCATTCTGTGCTTTAGTTTCCAGGGAATATTAAAAATATCAAATTAGTAGTCAAGAAAGATGGAAAACAAGTCTTCACACAGTTACTCATTTTTAATGACTGGCTGATGTAGAATTGATGGGCTCTACTGCTTCCATTTCTAGTTTACTTTTTAGAGGTGATATTCAAAGTAAAAAAGCAAAAAAACCCCAACATCTGAGGGAGTCTGCACTGTTCATGTAGCCACGTTGACAGAAATGCTGTCCAGCCTGCGCATGAGGGGTTCCATATCCTTTCCTTGTTGTCTGTTAGAAACAGGAGGCCATTTTTCTGCTCAGAAGAAAAGTTTTCGAGAGGTTTCCTCTCTAAATGCAGCTTCCTTATGTACAAGATTGCAGGTGCAGTGTGCAGTCCTGCCTTTTTGGCACCTTCTGGAAAAACTGGCTGATCATAACCAGGATGAACCCCACTGCCCTCTCCAGCTCTCCACTTAATTAAGATAAAAACTGTCTGCCTTAAAGGTACGGCCCTTCCAACCTCATGCTCAATTCTGATTCCCTTCCTGGCATTTCACTAGAACAAGGTGGTTCCTAGCCAGCGCTGCAGTAAGTCAGGCAACTGCTCTCAAAGATTCAGAAATTAAGCATTAAAAAAAAAAATGCACATAGGCTGTTATAACAGCCTCTGATTTCAACAAATATCTGCTTTGCCTTCCAGATTCTGTCTTCCATTGAATTGCTGCAGCATTCTTTACCTAAAATTAACCGAAGTGCTTCTGAACCTTCTCTGCATCGCGCAGCCCACGCAGAGGACATCAATTCATGCACGTTAACATCCACACGACTACCTGTGTTTTAGGATTTGCACGCTACTGCCCTTGCTCTCCCCAATAATGAGAAAGTTGTAGCAGTTGTGCTTTTTAATGCCTCAGTGTACAGGATCACAGTGCAAGTGGGATTCTCTACATCCCAGGTTTTAGAACCAGCTGCTTAAGGATTGCTCCGGTTCTAGTCCTGCAGGGACATGGCTCCATGTTGCCTTTTTCTACAGTGTCTTTTACTGGGATAGAGTTAACTGAGACTATAATCAAGAAAATCTATTACTATTTTTTTTAATAGATGCACTTGAGCCTTACTTTCCCACAAGTGGAAGAGGGACATTTCTGTGGAAGTGTTCCTGTCTTGATTTGATTCTGTTGAATAAATTGGTATTTTATAGCAAGGATAGCTCACCATTTGAGGAATAATGCTGATTTGATGCTGTTCTTTGAGTGTCCCAAGCCATGTGCTACTTCACAGTGAGTGAATTTTGACTAAAATGGGCATCTATAAACTGGCCTGAGGGAAGCAAACAAAGAAAAGCCTGGAATTGATTCCTGTGAATAACATTTCATCAAGCAGATGAAATCGATCAAAACTAAATGCCAAGGCTGGGCATCTGATTTTACACGTTGAAGAAAAAAACTCCTGCAGTGGGATGGAATGCATTATGAACAGTGCTGCTCAGAGAAGGAAGCTAGCACAATCTCGCTATGGTCATCTTTAGTAACTTAAGCAGCTTATATTGGTACTTTGGACTTGCTTCTTGCAGCCCAATGAGGTATCAAGTGCAGAATGACAGACTTCTGCTGAAGAGAAGTGGTTAAGTAACAAATCAGTGTATTTCTGCAAAACAAGCATGGTCTTCAACCCACCTGAAGCTGTCTTCCGAGAGATGCACTAAAGGGCAGAAACTGAGTATATACAGTTTTTCTTGCTGATTTGGGTTTTAATTGTTTTTATTGCTCCACAAAAATGCATTTATTGTAAGTCCAGGTTCCTCTGATTATCTTATTTTAATAAAATAAATTAAATTTAAGCTTTTAAGTTCAGAGTCATTCTTTAGTGCAGCATCTTACAGTTCCAGGAAGTCTATTTAGATGGATACATCCAAGAAAATTGTTCACTTGTCCATATAGGCAGTATAAAGACACTACAGCAATTTTCTATTACATCAGATGCTCTTTACTAGCAGGAACAAAAGAGTTACCATAAGTTTCCAAACATCTGCATGTTCTTCATGTATCATGGATGTCTGTATTGTACTGTGTTGTCATTAGACATTTAGCAACTTGGAGCTCCCTGTAAAGCAGTACTTTGACCTTTGATGGCAAGATAGCCTAAAAGTTCCATCCCTTGTTGACTTCTACTTCCATACTATCCCTCTGATGACAACTACAGCATTGATTAAAAATATAAGTCCATGGAATGTATTTTACCCTGCTCTCTCTCATCACCTTCTTTCAAGAAGCATCAGCTGGCCCACTTCTGCTTTCCAAGGGAAGAAAGACTGATGAAAGAGCAGATGCACCGTGTGGCCAGTAAACTCAAGATGGCAAAGATTAGGAATGGCAAAAGAACCCAATCTCAAACCATAGGTCATTTGTTATTTCTCTCCTGTTTATTTCTATTCTTCCTTAACAAAAAAAGCTTAAAGTGGCAGGAGCCGCCTGTGTGTATTTTATATAGCTCCCATCTTTTCTCCTACCTTGACTTTCAGCTGTTCCAAAATGTACTACCTCATTCAGTCCAGAAGAATAGCCATAATTTAACTTGAAGACAGTAAACCGGATCAGTTCCTTGTGTGATAGCAGATGTCTGAGCTACAGTTTAGCTAAAATTATTCAGCCTGGCAAGTGCTGAAGTGGTGGCTATATTGCTGTGAGTTGTTCAAAACTGTATTCAACAAATTGTTGGCAGACAAGGATTATGATCAAATGTACATAAAAATGCTTCTCTAGAGGCCTAGGGTACGGGTGTTGGAATCCATTGTTACCCTTTAGCTATTACATTCACATGATCCTATACTGGAACACTTTGACTAAATTGCCCTAACTTTGACCTGCATTAAGTAAGGTTAAATTTGAAATGTTTTTTTCTACACTTGCATCACTGTAGAATCATGGAGGATGTGACAGATGTAAGAGCTTATAGTACCAAAGGATGTCTGTGTCTCTGCCCAAAGACTCCTTCCTCTGTTACCTATGAAAAGGCCACAGGTAAGAACTTACTGAAGCACAAAGCAAAGGAGCCTATCAGAAGAAAAGGTATTTAAATAATATAAAAAATTAAAGACCAGCAAAGTTCTCCTCAGAATAAATATTTCTCCATGAAATACACTTTAGCTTATCATTAAGGTGGTTGTGCCAGAAGCAAGAATTCTTGTAAAGGATATCTTTTATTAGACCAACTGTATGGTTGGCATAGGCTTAAGCAAGCCTTTGCGTATCACAGCACAGGCAGTTCTCAGACTTATGACACAACAGATTCCTGAAAACAGTGTCTTAAGTTGAAACATTGCAACTCTGAACCAATTTTCTTGTAAGAAACAATGTTATAAATGGGGGACTGGTTTCTGAACCAAGGCCCAATACCCTATTTTCACCAAAAATACCTCAATTTTGTAGTCTATCAATTATAGATGAGTAATATAGCTACATTAATGTATTTATATGGTAAATAGCAATCATTGATTTGGAAGGACTTCTTTGAGGTGACTTTGCTGGACTTTTTGAAGGGCTCTTGGTTGGACTTCTTGAAGGGTTATTGGCTGGAGTCTTCTCAGGAGTCTTGGCTGCAAGTTTTTCTGGCATCTTGTCTGCCTTAATGAAAGTGTCCAGGGAAGTTTGGACAAATGTTCTCCAGGGAGATGGGTGATGCAGTGAACTTGTTGGCTGGTGGGGCCTGGCGTCAGATCAAGTGTTGTAAAGTCAAAACTGACTTCATAAAGTTGAAACGGTGTTGATTTGTAAACACTGTAAGTGTCAAACACTGTAACTCAAAATGTTGCAAGTCAAGGACTGCCTGTACCCTCTCTCAGGCCTCAGGCCATAAAGTTGGTCCAACAAGAGAGATCACCCACAAGCATTTTTGCCTCTCACCTCTGGACCATCGCAGCAACATCACCATCTTAAGGTTGATATAATTTATGACCCTTAAATCCAGCTTTACTATAAAGTCTACGCATTAAAACTGAATAAGAAGGGAAGTGAACTTACTGTTCACACTTATGATTTAACACACATTTTGAACTCAGGTTGATCACTTTTAACTATAACCATCACTCATACACTAATAAAATGTTTGAATTTAAGAATAAATCTTTGTTCAATTGGTTTGTAAGAAGACTAGAATCATGTATTATCTGCTTGACCTGTTTCCAAAATGAGTAAGCTATTGACCTGGTTTTACTTGCAATTTAAATAAATCTTTACCCTAAAAGGGAATGTTGAAAGATCTTAACCAGAACCATCTTGCTTTTAAAGTACCAGTATGATAAGGGGACTCGCTCCTTACTGACAGTAGGAACTGTAGAATTGACTTACATGTGAGAGTTCAAAATTAAAGGCAGACAAAAGCAGGACAATGCCAAAGCTCAGCTACTTGTCCTGTGCTTCTATTCTTTAATATTTGGAAGTAACATGAGTGTCCTCTCTCAAAAGAAATGCAGTGCAACAGTGTTGGAAATAAGCCATAGGGAGAATTAGTAGTACAGTTGCTGCTCATGTTTAAAGTGGATGTCTATTGCTTAGATCACAAGTGGCACAGTTGGGGAGGAGACAGGCAGCATAGTGGCAGATAGGGCAGGGAACAGAAAACAGCACCTGACTAGGCAGGGGAAGGGGATCAGAGTGCCACTTGAGGAGGATGTGGTGCTAACTTGTGGCATGCCTGCTGAAAAGGTTGGCATTGTCTGGGTATCTGAATACACTGTTATAAAAAACCCTTGACCATCTTCCTGAATGTAGTACAGCTCTTTCCTTCATCTTCTCTCCCATTGTCCACTTATTTTCTGTAGTTTAGATTGTGATTACCGCAGGTATCATGTTATACTATGTGTTATACATCCATAGAATAAGGAGACTGATTCAGCCCACACCCATATATATAGTGAAGCTTCTTGAATCTAGGTTGATATTTCTAGCTAAAGGGAACCTGCCCCCCACCCCCCATAACAACCAACTTGAAAGGAAGGGTACCCATGCCTGGGTGCTGGGCTATTTGCTATCCCTTATTCCAACATACTCTCTCTCTCTCAAGCTAGAACTGAAGCCAAAGTTTTAAAAGAAAACTAAAAGACATGGAGCACAACAGCAATGACTAATGGAGAAGCAATTTAGTAACCTGGACTGAGGAAGAAATGCAGTCCATTTTAATACCTCCTACAGCTCTGGGAATGTTACAGAAAGCCTTTAATCTGTACTAAGGGGCCAGAGGCTTTGTGCAAGTAATTAGAGTCCTCCTAGGAGACTAAGAAGTTGTTTTATGCAAAGCCAGATGCCAATGCTAGAAATGTGATCTGAAACCGAACAAGGAAACAGATCTGAAAACTGCTGGGGGATAGGTTGCATAATAAATGCAGTGTCAGGAGCAAAGGTCTCCGTTACAACCATGCCAAGGAGATTATTTATAGAATGGCAGTTTCTCTAGCCTCTTTATCAGCAAGGTACAGTGTACTGTCCCAGGCTCCAGGTAGCTGGGGTGGAGAAACATTCCCTTTGCAGGAAGGGGGTGGGGGCAACATGTTTTACATCTTAAATATGCTGAAAGTAAAGGGGGGAGAGCTTTACAATATCACTAACTTTTGTCTTAAAGGCATTAAGTAGAAGTTGCACTTGATTTTAAGTATAACATCCATTACTGCAATAACATGAGGCCTAGAAACATGCTGTACTGGGTTAATCAAAGCTTGTTCTTCAGAATGTTTTGATAAAGACTTACCTTGAACTTAATGCTCTAGTCTGAATAAACTTGGCATTCACTGCTGCAGTTTGGAACTAGGCTGTGACTTTTCAGCTGTATCATCATGTACACTGTTCTGAATCAGAGTCTAATGTGCAAAAGTATGCTTTTCCTCCATTTGCTTTCCCTCATTTCACCTTGCAATCTAGATGATCCTGCACTGTCAGTTAAGAATTACAGCAATAAATCACACAATGCAACCACAGCACCTTGCACAGCTGGCTAAGACCAGTGGCATCTAGCTAGAATTCCCTTGGCCAGAGCAGATACAGGAGGTGCATCTTTACATGAAATGTCACACTGGCTCCCACAGTACAAGATCCCCAGTATTTAGCTACAGTGAAGGAATGATATTACAGCTTGAATAATGCAGTAACATACAATTCCTGTACTTGTTCTGAATTGTTGTGCTTTGTATTAAAATGCCTTATTGGTTAACCTGTAGTGAGATTTTTACCTACACGGCAAACCAACACAACCCCTGCAACAGCAGTGGCTCTAACACACATCCACCAGGCAGTCCCTCTCTAAATGAAGAGCTAGCCTTCCTAAGAGTTTGTCACTGTCTGTTTCCTGTGGGACAGATAAGTGGTGCAGCTTTGATCCATACGTGAAGCCATGCATGCCCAGATATGGCATGCAGGGTTCCTGCAGATCCAGAGGTTTGGCATCAGGGAGAGGCAGTTAAAACTGCCAAAGCTTTCCCCCACCACCAAATTTCCAGGTACTTAGAAAGCCTAGAGGGCTGGATGAGACCACCCTAAATCAGGCTTCTGAAATGGAAAAGAAAAGCAAGATGTGCTTACAAAGTTATTACAAAGTTACCTCCTCCCCCTACAGGACTTATGGATCACTAAGTTTTTTTTCCATGCATGTCACTTAATTACCTTTAATAGCCTTTAGTATTTTTGTTGTAGTACAAAGACTTATACTAAAACTGTGCTAGAACCTCAGCAAGCCACACATTCTGGTTTACAGTAAAAAGTAAAACTGCTAAATAAATAGCTAGATGGGTACAGAAAAAACATCTTCAGGTCTTCTCATTGAGAAGTAGCAGACTCTTCATCTGCCCCTGAGAGGTGCATGAAAAGCTCCCCAAGCTCTGCCACATCATCAGCAGCACTGGGCATAGTCCGACTTTCTCTATCTTCAATGAAATCCCAGAGCCGAACAGAGTTGAAGAACTGTAAGAGAAAAGAGCACAAGTGAACACCTTGCTGACTGCTGGAGAAGCATGACATTCTTGCAGCTTCAACACTGCGGTAACAGTTTTTCCCCAGGCAAAAGTATGAACCTAAAAGGTATTTTCTTACTACAGATGACTGGGCTATTTTACTCTAGTACAGAGCAACTCTGGAAGGGAATGTGTGACTACAGCAAAACAGTGGCACTGTTATCCATGTGACTTGAGTAACAGACTACAGCTGTCCTGCTTCTAGGACACAAACAGGACCATTTTTAAGTGTTAAAGGAACAATTCCCCCTGGGAAAGCATGTCTCCTGCCCCCACCACTGAAGGTTTCAGTGTTAGCAGATATTCTTTGGGCTAACTGGCTCCAGTTAAGATGAACTGTAAAGCTACTAGAAAAATCAAAACTATGAGCCATCTCATCCTGCTGAGTATCATCCAAGGGCTGGTCTTAATGTCAGCTGCACAACAGCTTTGGTGGTGAGACGTTACAGAGCTGAAGTCACTTCACAGCACTAGTCAAAGCCCTGGTCCCACAACTATTCGTGTGAACTCCCATTTAGCTGCATGTTGTGGGCTCTTAACTGAGAGAGCTGCATCCCACACAACGTGCAAATCTGTCCCGTTACCATGTGGCTAAGTTAAAATGTGACTGAGATGTCAAGGATTCTCGTTTTCTGCTCAGTTTTTAATCTTGGTCTGTTTTAAACATGCCTCCAAGCAGAGAAATGGTGCCTGGCTCTGAAGCAGCAGCTTACTCAGAAGCAAGGCTCTGAAGAGAAGGAAGAGTCCCCTTACCCGCACAGTTCCCTCAGAGCTGAGCTGTTTCCGTGGTTTTTCAGGTTCAGCTCTCGTCCCATCTGGGTAGGCATGAAGATAAAGGCATTTCCCTCCAAATGGGCAGGTTCCTTTCCCTTGTTCAAAGTATTTGCAGGCTTTTTTCCTAAGAGACAAGTAAATACCGTCAATAAAAGTAGAAAAAACTCCTACTGTCCTTGTGCATATGCGCGCGCGCACACTCTTGTGCTACCCACCCACTTTTTTCTTTTACTCTTGGAGAAAAACCCTGCACCAGACTGACTCATCTCAGTCAAGCAAGAGCACACATCAGTTGGTGGTTGCCAGAGAATGCAGCCACTACCTTGCCTAGAAGCAACAGCTCTCCATCTGTCACCACCTCTTCTGTTGCTTAGATTTTACTAGCCTCAGCTGCACTCCTGACAGCACACACACAGGTACAGAACTGAACTGAAGCAGTAACTTAGTTCTGCTGTGCTCTCTAGCATAACTTGCACAGGAAGGGTTAAGCCTACCTTCCCCAAAATGTTACTTTGCTGTCTATTCATAAGCTGTAAGCACTAGGGCTGCGCGAGGCTTCTGATCCGGAGAAGCTTTGGATGCTTCAGCATCCAAAACAGCATGTCTGGATCAAAGTGCTGCCTTTGTTAGGCTTTCCAAAGCAGTTCAGAGCTTCTGAAGCGCTTCAGAGCCACTTTGGGGCTGAGGACAGTGACCTGCTGGCCAAGCCGCTATTCTACAACCTGCAATTAGCGGTCCTGGCAGCAGTGTTGCCCGAGGCTCGCCAGGGGATGGTCCAGATGGGAATCGCCTGGCTCAGAGACCTGGACTACGATGAGCAGGGATGGCTAGGCCAGATCTGAAGCCAGATCGGATCGCTGCTGACTTGCACAGGCCTAGCGAGCACCTTTGGAGAGGAAGGAATTCAAAGCACTATTTAATCTTTCACTTAAAATTAAAACAAGAGGACTCAACTGAGGACAAACTTTTCATTATTTTTTCTTCCTTTTGTGGAAAGATGTGGCATTTGACTTCTAATTGCAGGAATGACTGGGTGAGCCTCAGGTGAGATGCATGCCAACACCAAGTGTAGAAGTTGTGTGGAACCTAGGTAATAAGAGTACTAACCAACTATGGGTCCCTCTCACCTTATGATTAAATGCTTCCTGCTTTGGGAACTCATCCCACACTGGATAGATAGGGAGGAAGTTTTCTTTTAGCCTGACCACACTTGTAAGCTAGAAGGACATAACCAGGTATTCTAAAAACCTGTAGTTTTGTTCTATGACTTGGAAATGGAGAGAAGCAACAACCTCTTCTAATGAGAACTATGTTCAGGAACATAAACTATCAGAGTGCTTGTCTTCACAAGTGTCAAGGACAAACAGTTCTCAAACAAACTGAAAATAAACCAGCATAGTGTTGTCTTTGAAGATCCAGACCTCCAACAGAAGATAGAATGAAGTGGGAGAGTGGATCCACTCTCCTTAGGAGCATAGTCAAGAACAGGAGAATTGTCTCAAAGAGGAAACATTTTCAAGAGGAAAATCCTCTCCCAGTCTAACCTCTGACTTTTCATGTTAGTGTAATCACAAGCCCTTAGGATGTATGTAGTAGATGCATGCACACTGCTTAACTCAGAGGTCATTGCTGTATCACACAGTAGTAACTTTCACCTGTGTTTTGATTTTAGCCAAGTGAAACCAGGCAGAACCTGGCAGAGTAATGCTTTCAGCTAACCCCTTCTGGTACAGACTTTATTCCAGGGCAGAAGTAGCAATCAATCGATTCCTATCTGGATTACAGAAGCATTCTGTGGATGAGCACTTCCCCATATAAATTAGAAGGTGCCTTCATTTCTGTTACTCCCTTATCTGAGATCCTTCTACCTGGATGGAAGCAATCATCTCAAAGGTAAGAGAAGATGAGAACTCAGATGACAGGAACACAGAGACTAAAAAAAAAACCTGCCATAATCCAGTCCAAAAACAAATTTTCATTAATGGAACAATAAGGGTTCCCTCCAGAACTATATGCCCCTTAAGCACTTTAACTCTAACAATTTCAACACTAATTGACCCTGCGACAGTAAAAAAGACACTTTTCAGCACAGACCTGTATGAAGGAACATATATGAAAAGTAAATGCAAGTTTTACTTTATCCAGCTATTTGTGGGGCAGAAATGCATGCCTGGAAGCATTTGTTTTTTCAAACATCTGTGCTTAGACAGAACCAGAGGTCAGGAGGACTATTGCCAAACTGGCTTACTCCTCTGCTTATACTTCCCCAAACAACATTCTCATATTGTCACTAGGACTGTCAAGTGATTAAAAAAACTTGATCGCGATTAGTTGCGTGATTTAAAAGTTAGTTGTAATTTATTGTGATTTTAATCACACAGCTAAAAACTCAAATTATGCAGGTACTTTGTATGGTTGGGGGGTGTGTGTATGTGTGTGTAATTTGTGAAGGTGTGAGGGACTATGGGGTTGTATGGGGGGGTTGAAGCCTGGGGGGGGACGGTTGAAGCCCAGGCAGGGGGGGCCCCCCACACACCCTGGG